CCTGCAGTGTCCCTGGCCCCCTACCCCGCCTCGTCACCCCACGCCCGCGTCCTGCAGGCCCTGAGACAACAGGTCTCTTTATTTTGAGACGAGGTCTCACTAAGTTGTCCAGGCTGGCCCTGAACTTTTTTTTTTTTTGGTATCGGAGATTGAACTCAGGACCTTGTGCTTTCAAGGCAGGTGCCACTGCACTGAGCTAAATCCCTGGCGCTGGCCTTGAACTTTTGATCCTCTTGCCTCAGCTTGCTGAGTGGCTGGGATGATAATGCACCACCATGCCCAGCATTTTCACACAATTTAATGTACCATATACTCTATCCACTCCATTTTTTTCTTCTCTCTTGAAGGCTTCTAGATGCAGTATGGGCTGGTTGCTTTTTGAGCCTGCCATACAGTTATTCTCTTCACTTCATCTCTCTCCTGTGCTAGGTCCCATTATCTGGGTCTCAGATTTTTCTCTTTCTCAGTTTGGTTCCCATTTTGGAGAACATTTTACACTAATTTTTGTTTCTTTATTTTGTTTTGCAGTGCTGGAGATCCAACTTAGGGCCTCAAGCACTCTAGCACCCAGCTACATCCCCAGCCCTTCCAGTAGTTTCCTGAGAAAGAGTGCATGGGATGAAAGTATTTTTTTGTTTGTGTTTGTTTTTGAGGCAGGGTCTCCCTTTGTATTTCAGGGGGCCCTGAACTCACTGTGTAGCCCAGGCTGGTCTCAAACTTGAGGTGATCCTCCTGCCTCGGCCTCCAGAGTGTTGGGATTCTAGGCATGTACCACCATGCCCAGCAGGATGAAAGCATTTCAATACCTTGTATGTCTAAAGATATCTGTGTTCTACTTGGTTGAAAACTGTGGTTTGCTATACAGTTTGGTAATCATTTTTGTCAGAAAAGTGAAGGCAGTGTTTCAGCTTCCAATTTGAGAAAAATCTCACATCATTCTGATCCCCAAACCTTTGTATATTATCATGGCAATTACAAGTGAGGAGTCAAGTCAGACTGTCTGTGTGACCTTGGATTAAAATTATCTATTTATCTAGCTAGCTAGCTATCTTAATGAGGATTAAGCCAAAGGCCTTCATACCAAGTTAGATCCCCAGCCCTTTTTAAAATTTGAGGCAAGATATTACTAAATTGCCCAGATTGGGTTCAACTTGTGATGCTTTTGCTTCAGTCTCCTGAGCCACTGGGATCACAGGTGTGTGCCACTGTGGCCAGCTGACTTTATGAAAGAGAAGACCACCCTCCATACAGAATCGGGCAGCTATGAGTTAACTGTTATTAGGCAACTATGGGTTAACTGGGTAACTGTGCTCTTTGTAGAATGCACCTGAGCAGCCATGACAACTTCTGTAATCTGTCACCAAAGGAGCGTCATGGACTCAGGAAGTCCTGCCAGAACTCTTTGCTCTCCCCTCTCCACTGCTCTGCTTTGTGTAAATCCTGCTTGCTGTATTCCCAGGGAAACGTCAATAGAATTAAGTCTCTTATATGTAAAAAGAGGTTTATAAGGAAGCCCAAACTTAGATTTGGGGCTCTTGAGACTGACAGGTGTCACTTGCTGAGCTGCTGGCCTCATTAAAAGCCACTTTATTTTTTTGGTATCAGGGATCAAATTCAGGACCTTGTGCTTGTGCAGCAGGCCGCAAAACCACTGAGCTAAATCCCCGGCCCTAAAAGCCACTTTTTGCTCCTATCTTCATGTTAAAGTTATCTGTCCCAGGGTCCTCACTGTTTCCTGCTTCACTTAGACAAATTTCTTTTTTTTCTTTTTTTGATACACTTTATTTTATCCCATTCCAAATTTTTTCTTTCTTTTTTTCCCTTGGTACTGGGGATCGAACTCAGGACCTTGTGCTTACAATTTAAACAAATTTCTTAATCTCCCTGCACCTCAGCTTCATTTGTAAAACCGGGTTGTTGGAAGGCTGAATTAACACATAAAGCACTCAGTGCCTGGCACAGAGTATACACTGTGTAAAAATTTACTATTATTTTTATAAGGTCTCTTTCTCCCTAACATTGAAATTTAATAAAATTAGACTTAAAATTTACTACACTGAAAACTCAAGAGGTATATGACTTGTAACTTTTCAGTCTTAGAGAACTTGTATATTTTTTTTTTTCCAGTACCAGGGATCGAACTCAGGACCTTGCATTTTAGAGGCAGACGGCAGAACCACTGAGTAAATCTCCAGCCCTCCATTTGCTTTTTTTTTTTTTTTGTACTGGGGATCGAACTCAGGACCTTGCGCTTGTGAGGCAGGTGCTGGAACCACTGAGCTAAATCCCCGGCCCCCCTCCATTTGCTTTTTATGTTTACAGGCTCATGTATACTAAGCAGACACCACTGAGCTATAGCTACTTACTTTATTATCTGACCTCTAGCTCACTTGATTTTTATACATTCTCTTTTATATTGTACAACTTTATCTTCTCTTACTAAATTTGAAAATTGGCTGGGTGTGGTGGCGCATGCCTGTGATCCCAGCACTTGGGAGGCAGACACCAGGACTGCCACAAGTTTGAGGCCAGCCTGGGCTACATAGTGAGTTCAGGGTCAGCCTGAACTACAAAGTGAGAGCCTGACTCAAATAAATAAATAGGGGCAGGGATGTAGCTCAGAACCGCAGCACCTGCCTGGTAAGCACAAGGCCATGAGTTCAAGTCCGGTACCATAAATAAATAAATAAATAAAATTTAGCTTTCTATATTCTAAATTTGTTTGCTTTGACATCTTTCAAGTTTAAAGCTTGCCTTAAATGTTGGGAGATCCTTGATTTCTCATATTTAAGAATGAAGCAGGGCCGGGGATTTAGCTCAGTGGTTCCAGCGCCTGCCTTGCAAGTACAAGGTCCCAAGTTTGATCCCCGTTACGAAAAAAAAAAAAAAAAAGAATGAAGCATAAAATGCTTAATGTAAGCTGGGCACTGTGGTGCACTCCTATCATCCCAGAATTACAGAGATGGAGGCAGGAGAATTGCAAGTTCAGGTCCCACCTCAGCAACTTAGCAGAGATTCAGTCTCAGAATAAAAATAAGTTAAAAGGGCTGGGATGAAGCTCCATGGTAAAGTACCCTGGGTTTAATCTCCAGTACTGAAAAAATAAGTTTAATGTGCTAAGTGACTCTTCTCTACTGCGAGGCATCACAGTAGTGATCTGCACTGGCAGCACCACAAATGTTTCTATTCTGAGAATGAATATTCATTTTCTTCAGAGTGTTATTTAATCTTTCACCTGTGCTAGGCAGGGGGTTTGTATAAACTTTTTTCTGGGGTGGGGGGGATAACTGGGAATTGAAGCCCCAGCCAGGATTTTTAATGTATTCTTTTTTTTTCTCAGCACTGGAGATTGAACCCAGGGGCTCTGCCTTAAGCTACAACTCTAAGCCTTTTTAAACATTTTGAGCAGGGGATGTAGCTCAGTGGTGTAGTGCCTGTCTGGCAAGCACAAGGCCCTGAGTTGGAGTCCCAATACAAAAATAAATAAATAAAATTCTGAGCTGGGCATGGTGGTGCATGCCTGTAATCCCAGCACTGAGGAGGGTCACCATGAGTTCAGAAGCAGCTTGAAAAAAAAATTTTTTTAGACAAGGTCTTACTAAGACCTTAAATTGTTAAATTGTTCAGGCTGGCCTTGAACTTGTGATCCTCCTGCCTCAGACTCCCTAAATCTGGGATGATAGGAATGCACTTGTGCCTGGCTCCTGGCCGGATTTTTAGCAGCAGAGAAAGATGGCAGTCTGTCCTGTGTTCAGTCAGGCTCCCTGTCCCTTGCTGTGTCCAGTGCTCCTGAGTGTCCCTTTTCCAGGACAGGCGAGGCAGTTGCCTGCCTGTAATGGAGGGTTGAGAGGACAGAGGCCTGTGTGAACACTTGCAGACTCTCCCTCGGTGCTGTCTCCAGAGCACAGCTCCTTGCCTCCATCTGCCCGATATCCCCAGGCCCATGGCTCTTCCTTTCCACTAGACAGTTACCCCTTTTCCACCTCCTTTGCATCTCCCAAGAATTGTCAACACCTTGGTTTTGCTATTCCTCTCCCACCCCATAGTCCATGGACTTTGTGTCCACTCTAGAGTTCTGTCTTGTGAAGGGAAAGTATGACCCTAAACCTGATGTTAAATCTCTCCTGGTTTAGGGCCAGGGAAAACTGACTGCCACTTCACTTTGCCAGGCTTTTTTTTTTTTTTTGGTACCAGTGATGGAACTCAGGACCTTGTGCTTCTGAGGCAAGTGATGGAACCACTGAGCTAAATTCCCGGCCCTCAAAACTCTTTTTATAGGAAGACTATAAAAGAAGCCAGGCGAGGTGCTATACACCTGTAATCCTAACACTCTGGGAGGCTGAGGCAGGAAGATTGCAAATTTGAGGACACCTTGAGCAAATGTGTATTTGTCTCAAAATAAAAAAGAACTGGCAGGCCGGAATTTAGCTCAGTGGCACCATGCCTGCCTCAAAAATCCAAGGTCCTGAGTTCGATCCCTGGTACCTAAAAAACAAAACAAAACTGGCAAGGCCTATAGGTGTAGTTCAGGGGTAGAACACGTGCCTAGCATGCACAAGACCCTAGGTTCTATGGCCAACACCGAAAAACAACACAAAAGGCTGTGATGTAGCTCAGTGTTCCCTGGGTTCGGTCCCCAGCACAGGCGGTGGGGTGGGGTGGGGTGGACACTGTGAATGAGTCCAAATTCCTAAGACCCAATCAGGCCACTGTGTTCTCTCTCGCATGGTGGGCCCCCTCATGCTGTAGGGTGTGCATACTTCTTTTTCTACTCTTTACGTGGCCCATACTCAATCTGCAGAGGTGGTTTCTTTTCCTACCTCTAAGAAAACTTTGGTACCATTAAAAAAAAAAGCTGGCCATGGTGGTGCACACCACATATAATCCCAGCACTTAGGAGGCTGAGACAAGAGGATCCCCCGAAGTTCAAGGCCAACTGAGTTACATAATAAGACCCTGTCTCCAAAAACAAACAGAAAGAACCAAACATTAGCCAGAAGAGCTTTCCAACAGTCTTTTTTTATTTAACTAGAAATCACTCTTTAATTTAATTAAATCAGCAGGAGTTTTTCAGCACAAGATTTAACATCTTAATGACCACCAAGGCCTGGGCTCTGGGGCTTATTCTGCCTCTCCCAATCCTTAAAGGGGTTTAGAGAGAAAGACATCATTAACAGAGACCAAGTCAGATGGCTGCAGGTCCTCTTTTCCCAGTCATTGGACAAGCTGCTCAATTCTTGTCCGGAGCAGGAAAGAGCCAATTCCTTAGAAAAATCTAACAAAGAATTTGGCATTACATCATAAGATCTCTCTTAACAGTTCAAATTTATCAACAGTATTGGTCCAAATTTACTTGCTTCTAAGTTTTCATCTTTCAAACCTCCGGTGAAATTTTAATGATATCACTCCCTGTGCAGAAATGAATCAACCCAGTGCAAAGGAAAATCCCTCAAACTGGAATAGCTTCAACTTGCTCTGGAAAGAGGAAACAAGATTTTCCTGCTCCTCATTCACCCAAGAGATGAACACATGTCCCCCCAAGATCAAAACGTTACTTATGACCTTGGAATGTACACACAGGCAAATTTGGATGGGCTCATTTAAATTCTCTAAAAAAGGGTAGCTGGAACTACTAAGCAGGCAGCCTTCTTTGGAAATTGCTTAAAATGAACTCTTGGGAACCGTCCATGATCATATACAAAGGTGCTAAATTCCCAACGACTTCTGCTATTCCGGTTCACAAGGTACGCTCTGAAGAGGCGCTGGAATTATCGGCAGCAAGAGCAAGAGCAGGAGCAGCAGCCCCACGAGGTAGAACCTCTATAACTCGAGGCTTGTCAATGATACGAGCTGTCCGGTTTCCTTTTTCCACAATGCCGACAATCCATGCTTGGTGACCCTCACCGTACTTGGAAGATTTGATTTCGGAACAAAATCGGGCTGCCTGTTCTCTCGGCAGACAAATCAATAACCCCCCAGAAGGTTCAGCTGAGGTTCCCTGAAGGAGTCCAAACCGCCCACTGGCCTTGCTGATAGCAGCCATCTTGGCAATGATTGGCAGATTATGAATGACAAATGACACCTCGTTTCTCTGTTGTTTTGCGAGGTTCTGAGAGTGTCCTAAAATGCCAAAGCCTGTGATATCTGTAGCCGCGTGGGCATTGAATGTGTGCATCAATCCAGCAGCAGTTCTGTTTAGGGTAGCCATGTTGAACATAGCCTCCTGATAGGCCAGTTCTACTTCTTCTCTGGAGACCACCATGTTTATCTTATCCCATCTCTCAGGATTATCCAGCCACTGGTGGGCATTGACTGCAACCTGAGTTCCTAAGGGTTTGGTTAACACAAGTACATCCCCTACAACCGCACTGTCAGGCATTATGAATTCATTTGGCTGACATACCACAGTGGCAACTCCACCGATGATAATCCAAGGGTTGACCACGGTTTGCCCACCTGTGACTGCAGTTCCTCCCTCCTCAGCAGCATCCCGGAAACCTTTGATCATGAGTGGTGTTACCTTTTCTCGCTCCTCCTCATTCATATTCTGGCTGACACTGAGTAACATTAACATGTTGTCACATTCCGTGATGCCCATGGCGTAGAGGTCACTCAGCACGTTGGCACAAGCTATCCGCCCCATCATGTATGGATCTTCCACCAAGGGGTAGAAGAAATCTGTGGTCTGCACCAGCGAAAGGCCTCCGTGTCTCAGGGGGATGACGCAGGAGTCCATCCCGATGCTCAGGGATGGTGAGGACGGGCTGGGGCCCGCCCCAGGGGGCAGGCCAGCTTCCTGGGCCGCCTCTTCTTGGCCCCTCACCAGGCCGGAGCCCAGAGCGGGCTGCGCGTCCGGCCGCGTTAGTCCCGCCAGGAGTTTGAGCAGCGTCTCCTGGGGGACTTTGCAGCCTCAGCCTTTCATGCCGGAGAAGCCCGTCAGCCGCCAGCTCGGGCTGAGGCCCAGCGCCTGGGGCTCGAAGGGCCGGTAGGTCGCGAAGCTCCGGCCCGGACTCAAGCCTGGCGGGCCGGAGGAGCCTTCCGCCGCCACCATGGCCGCCATCGTCTCTCCGCTGGCGCCCGCCACGACTTCCGCCATCGTGCCGGCCCGGCGGGGAGAGGGGAGAGGAGAGAGGAGAGCAGGGGACTCTCTGATTTTCTACTCGTTAATCTGAAGTAACAGCCATATATTACCGAAGAGCTTCTTCAAGACTGGCCGGATACCACATAAGGTCTGCTGGAGAAGCGGCCGGCCGCCTTATGTATTCGCGGGGTGATTGACAGCCCCGCCGCCCAATGATGACCCCGCCGTGGAGAGGCGGGCTTCCTTTCCCCCAAAGCACCTATTACAAATCACCGGTTTGCAAACCGCCCAGAGCAAGGTTGCAGGACGTCACATGCTGCATTTTGCTTACCTTGTAATTTAAAATGATCTCCTGGAACTCTGCCCCTATTGAGTCACTTTACCGAGAGAGAGCCTCTTACAGCTAAAAATGATAGGTCGCTTGGCGAACCTCGTGAAGGCCAGAATAGTTCTAGGGGTCATTTAACAACGCAGAATATAATTCCAAGGTAGGAAAGTAGCCCAAGGGAAAGATCAGGAAAAAACCCCCAAGAAATTAAATTACTACCATTAACCGAGCAGTTTGCAATGACATGTTAACATGGGGTTTTTTTTTTTTTTGGTACCGGGGATCGAACTCAGGTCCTTGCGCTTACAAGGCAGGCGGCGGAACCACTGAACTAAATCCCCGGCCCTGTTAACATGGTTTTAATGAAATTTAGGATTCAGATTTCCAGGGAGGATTCCTTATTGCTGTGCTCTTTGTAATCTCAACATACTGGAAATAGTTTAAATGCTTATCAACTATGATAATTATGATACTTTTGGGCCGGGGATTTAGCTCAGTGGTTCTGCCGCCTCCCTCACAAGCCCACGGTCCTGAATTCAATCCCCAGTACCAAAAAAACCCCCCAAAACAGAGCCCTGATAATTATGATACTTTTATGTAGTAGACTGTCATGTAACTAAAATAGAATGAGAAAATATTTATGTAATTTTATAGATAATAGTTCCAGTTGTAACTGGCACAATCTTAATACTTTTTACATGTATTGACTAATTCATAAATATTTTGAGTTCTGGTTCTTTCCCTCATTTTACAGATAGGGAATGAGGAACAGAAAGATTAAATGACCTCTTCCAGGTCTCACCCAGTTTACAGTGGAGCTGGGAATGAGTACAAGGAGGCTGCTCCAAAGACCTCCAGGTTATACTGCCTGTGATATTTGCAAGAAAAATAAACATCAAAACAGTATATTTGGAACATTTGGAATTTAAACATTTGACTGCCTTATATACGGGGTTTTTTTTGATACCGGGGATCGATGTGGAGTCCTTGCGCTTGCACAGCAGGCGGCGAAACCACTGAGCTAAATCCCCGGCCCTGCGCTATATACTTTTAAAAACAAGTAACTGCTTGTGAGAGCATAAATTGGTGCAAGTATTTTGGAAAAGAGTCTGTATATGTGCTGCTGAAGCAAGCACTATTTTGGAAAAGCTTGGCCTTAACAAATAAACTTGACCACGTGTGAACGCTGCATCTCTGCAATTCTACACGGAGGTCATATAGGGAAACTGTCTGGAATCCACCTGCAACAATGACAGCAAGAGTTCTGGAGACTGGTTACAGAACAATGTGAATGTCTTTAACACTGTGCGCTTAAGAATGGTTAGGATGGGGGCCCGGGATTTAGCTCAGTGGTTTTGCCGCCTGCTGCGCAAGCTCAAGGACCTGGGTTCGATCCCCAGTATTCCCCCAAAGAAAGAAAAATCAGTCTTGAACAAA